ACACACACATATCCGTACATAATTTTTATACGCATACATACATACGTATATTGTGTATGTGTAAAGTTAAATTTTTTTTTTTAAACACGCAAATCAATCGATAGAAAAACGCTCGTTTCGACTTCGGTTTTCAATCAACTTCAACGTACACACGATAAGAACACTGTTCTCGTCCTGCAAACAAATTTTACCTACTCTTTACACAGCCGTCACAACACACACATATTTATATACAAAACCGTGATAATCGTGTCTCTCCGGTCACAGCGAATAGATTTATAAATTTACAACGTATGTTATATAGTCTTATCGTAATTAAATAACGCACACTCTTATATTTAGATTAATGTAATAACGATCCGTTGAACGTAATTATAATGCGCATACTTTTTACTACTTTTTAGTACCTATTGTTGTTTTGCCCTTCGTATGTATACATACATATACATATATATATGTATTTATATATAAGAATATATTTACATATGTGTATGTATATATATATATATATATATATATATATATATATATATATATATATATATATAATTATATGATATTTAAATATCGCGTAGACCGTAGTTGACCTGAAGTAACGCATAGTAAATAATATATTTTATAAAACAATACGTATTTTACATATTATAGTTACTCGATTGATTAGTGTCACCCGTCGAAATATAAGTAAAATAAATACCGCGTGAACGAAGCAGATATATCCGGTACGATAGAGACGTAAGTAGTATTTTTTCTATTAGTATTGCTTTCATTTATTTTCCACTTTTTTTATTTATTATTATTACCTTTTTTTTTTTTTAATTATTGTTTATACATATTAAACTGTTGTTTTAGCCAACATACGTACACATTTGTTTTTTATTTAACTATATAATATCATGTGAGCATGTAATTATATTTATACACGTATATATTATGCATTTATGTATTATGTACTATACGTATTGTTGAAATAATGTCTCTTTCGGAAAAGACAATAAATACTAGAAACGTAAAACTGAATTTTTCGAGTGTCGAAAAACAGGCCACGGGGTGACTGATGGACGTTTCGTATGTTATTTTACAATGTATACGGTATACACACAATTATATTATAAATAGATCCGTGCTTAAAATGCTTCTGTAGATTTTATCGCTTGCACGCGTCGAGTTGATCGTCGAGATACCGTGTTCCCATATAAAGTGCACACACATTATATATTATAACACTACTAGTGTTACTCTAAAGTTTTTTGGTCGTTTGAAGTATTTATTGCTGCGTAGGTATATTATCGTATCGAATTAAAGCGGCTATCAGGGGGGAAGGGAATGAAGTGGATTGTTTCCGATACCACCCGATGTGTCGTATTTACACACGCGTATAGGTTATACGGAGAGGGATAAAATTTGTCCCCGTATTCTATTTTCAACGTATGAAAATAAATATACAAGGGCGGATTAAAGGAGGTTTAGCCGGGATGGTAGCCTCGGGCCCTTTCAAGTACCCAAGTGAAAGGAGCTCAAACAATTTTAAGCCGATACACATTTTTTATCAAACTAAAATTATTAGTTTTATAGACATAAATTTTATATACCTATTAATTTTATAATTTTATAATGTAATCGACAATTTGTGAAATAGTTAATAAAATGTATCGTTCTGCCAGCGTAACGAGCGGCTTTGTAAAGCATGTTTTGTCAAACAGGCCCATATAAAATTTCAGTCCCGGGGCCCAATAGGTGCTTAATCCGACCTTGTAATATACGTGATAATTATGTGATTATATTGTAAATTTACGTTAGATATCCCCTTTAAAGAAGTCCATGATCTGCTACTGCACTGTGGTTTTAATAATGTTAACCCAGGTGATATTTTTCGGCCTCGGAAATATGCGAATCCACTTAACCACTGTTTTCTTGTTCTATGAAAAAAATTGCGGTTTTAGATTAATAACTAAAAATAAAAATAATGTGGACTGCATGAAGATGATCGGCACATCAAGGAACTTCCTGTTCAATCAATCCACCACCTCGTTGTCTACCTAAACGAATTTGCCAAGTACACGCATTTTGATCGTAGACCCGTAAAAGAGCATTGAAAATTTTATGTTACCCTCGGCGTGTACTACAGACACTGTGCGCATCAATAGCTGTATGTACACGTTGCGTTACTATACGAGCGGTTTGAAAATAATTTATATATATGTACTACTCTTCAGTGATCGCACGTGTCGTGTGTGTAATATATGTGTTCGAAATCGATTAGCGTGTTGTTTCGTAGGAAACAATAATATGTATTCTCTGTAGATTTAGGTCTTAAAATGTTCGTTGTATACATGAAATACGGATGATATAAAATTTATGAGCGTTCTTGTTTTTGTTTATTTTTATTTTTACAAGAATTTTCCGAATTTGTTAAAGAACCGTTATTCGTTCGCCGACCGGAAGTGATTTTCATCGAAGTTTCGCTTGTTGTATAATATAATCCAAATAGGTACACGAGATACCCATCTGTATGGACATACACCTATTTGTATATTATAGACAAGTAGCAGTGGCGTAGCAAAGATATGGTGAACTGTGCTTACGTCTAGGATGCAAATTGCAAAGACGCGCAAAATTGTGCAAAAATTATATTTTTATTCTACAATTAAATCTAACATTTTCCATTATACTTTTGAAATACGTAGATGTTGTCTATTTGTCCACACTACGTGTGAATTCAATGATGAAATTATGAAAATAGGGTATTTAAATAACAAATTTTAAATTAAGAAATTATCGATGAATTTGTCAGTCATAAAGCAAGAAAAGCAAATTTTTAAAGTTTAAAATTAACACTATAATATTATCTTATAAGTATAAATTGTATACTTAAAGATATTAGTAAAACTAAAGGTTAAAAAAATATCATGACATCAAGTTTTAATTGGTTAGAAAGGTAATTTTTTCTAAGTTTGCCAGGGCGCTAGCCAGTCTTCTTACGCCACTGACAATTAGAAATACTTATGGTATGTAATAAATAAAAAAAGAAAACCGATTCAACGGCGATATAGTTATACGCTATGTTTCATGAGCGTGTTTATGTAGTGTAGAGTACGTAGACAGTTGGCGAGAAAATATCTACCCTATTTCAACATGTCATTTCACAGGCAATTAACTTTCAAAAGACACGCGGCATGATTCAACAGATATTGACAAAATATTCATCGAATACTTTCATTTTGAAATATTACTCCACGAACCACAGAGTTCGAATCGTGGTAAAAAAATGAAAATCAGCGTTTCGAATCTATATTTTTGGCTTTCAATTTTACCAAGATTCTATTCAAATCAATTCAAAATCATTCAAATTCTTATAACATATAAAGACGCCTAGCGAATAACATGCGTAATGTGGTGGGCTGCAATAGATGATTACATAGCAAATGTCTTTTTTAAATTTATTTTTTTAGCAAGACAAATAATATTTACAATCTGTATTAAGAATACATTAAGTTATATACGTATGTACATCTACACGGATTGACGGCTTGATTAAGGCGGATGTCTAGTAACGCTATATCAAGTAATGTAAATGTATATAAATAAATATAATCGAGAATGAACGAGAGCTGAAAAGGACAACATATTTTTGCTAATAATATACATGTCGATATAAAAAAGTGACAATTAATAATTGAATGCCTGAAATATGCTAATTAAATATAGTACCTAAATATTTTATCTTACATTTATAATTGTCTGTATTGGCATATCTATAACATTATATAACATTAATCTGATAATATTTGTCTGAAATTTCTAGCGATATTTGTTTTGTATTTCGAATGGTGTAAAATTCATCTTTCATTTATTTGATAAATTCGACGAACATAGTACGTACCTAAAAAACATACACCTAAATTAAAAGGCAAGTATTTATCTTGTACAATACATTTTTGAAATATACCTGTATATACACATTATGTTTGTGCACGACAAAAATCAAGAAATATGTAATTTTCTTTGAAACAGATAAAATATATTTAAAATGCTAAAACGTCGACATAAGACTCGTTAAGTTATTTCGCCAACCAAGTATCTGTTTTTACGTAATAAGTTGTACACTAAAAGTCGGAGAAAACGCACGCAACTTTTCTAATTTAACTATTCACAATAACCATTATTTTTGGTTGCTGTCTTATAATTATCATTATTTCTTGTACGCATTCGACTGCGTACATTTTTACATCAACATCCTGTGGTAGGTACACTGTGCTACCGTCGTCTGGTCGATTATTCTTACGATACGAACACAACTCTGTAAGTCGAATCATTAATACTTATTAAACGATTATATCTTTATGACACGTGATTATATCTACAAATGTAGGTACATTTATATATATATATATATATATATATATACCCGTAAATCTGCGGCAATTTACAAAAATTTCTTTTCGAAACAATTGTATTGTCGTTCAGTGTGCAGCGATTAAACCGCGACCATTTTCAATGGCTGTATTTGGCTATGTTATTTAAGAAAAAAAAGATTAACAAAAACGCTTTGATGTCATATTATCGTCTAATTATTTATACAAATACAACATTTAATGGTAATTAGTTTTCAAATTTTATTGAAGATAAGTCTGCTGTTTAATTATCGGCCAGCAAAGGGAGTAATTCATGTACTATTTCATTAGAAGCAAGAAAATCATAGTTTGCCATCCAAATTATTCCCGGAAGTGAAACATTTAATAGAAATATAAATATTATGATAATGTTATTATTATTATAATATTATTTTCAAATACACCAGAATATACGATTAGCTCATTATTTTTAGTGTTCTTTCTCCAATGCAACGTTTCACATTAATTAATTTTAAGTATAGGAAGCACAGTTAGTGTAGACTTGTCTAGACTTCCACGGGTAAAAATGAAGATATATATTAAGCATTTTATGATAAATTATTTTTCATTCTTTTTCTAGAACATTAATAAAAGTTGCGTTAGGGTAAGGTGTATAATATTCAATATTGTTTAATGTACATGAAATACATGTACATTTTTTTCTTTATTTTTTTTTTTTTTTGAATTTTTCATTACGCTAAGATACATGAAATTGTGATAAGCTATATTTTAAAATTAAAACAAAAAAAAATATAAGAGGCAGTAGTATAATGTAGATCAACATAATATTTTACCGATCGCTTAAGAAATATATAATAAATAAATAAATAAATAGTTAAATTAAATATATAAATACTTTTGTGTTTTGGCCGGTAACCAAGGTACGTTAAATAATGCATAGTTAAATGTTTTCGCCACCATTACACATTTACTAAATCATTGTATAATTATATTCCGTACAATGTAGACGTTAAAACCTATTGGTTTTGATGTTGAATAAATTGATTACTTGGAAATCGTATATTTTATACATTGCGTATAATATCGTCTCATACGTTGTTTTCGAAACTTCTTGAACAACTCACACATATGCACACATACACGCAGTTCAAAATGTTTATACAAAACTTGTATTATTCATTGGATGCTGTACGGTGGGATGATTTATATTCGATAAAATTGAGTGGAACTCCCTGTATAAACTAATATGATGTGTGTGAGTATGATTCACTAAAGCGGTAATTATAGATTGTTGCATAAGTAAAACTAAAAATTCAACACATGATATTTTCTTTTCAAACGATTTCTTTTAACATACTTATTGCGTTTACAATAATATTG